ATATACTGTAATGATATATGCTATTGTTAAATAAAATTGATTGAGAAATTCATTTATTCATTCATAAATATTTCTTGAGCGTCCGCTTTGTGCTAGGCACAGTTATAGGCCCAAGGGGGGTATATGAATAACAAAACAGACAAAAATTCCTACACACAATGCAGCTTATAGTCTATTTGAGAAAGTAAACAAAAAACATAACCAAGAAGTCTATTAGTTGTCATTCTAACTCAAATATAGCTTTACCCTCTTAGGCTGTTAAAATTTACTTATAACATAGTATTGTATATTTATAATGTGATCTTCATTTTAATGATCAGTTGATGCCACCTGAATATAGTCATACTGAATATAACTTAATCCATAAAATAAACCCACTGCCATCGAGTCGATTCTGACTCATAGTGAGATTCTGACTCATAGTGACCCTATATGACAGAGTAGAACTGCCCCACAGAGTTTCCAAGGAGCAGCTGGTGGATTCGAACTGCTGACCTTTTGGTTAGCAGCCAAGCTCTTAACCACTACACCACGAGGGCTCTGAATATAACTTAGCTAAATCTAAATAAAAAATAAAAATCAACAACATTATCACTTGAGAATCATGGCTACAAAGTAGAAAGGTCTAAAATTTGGGATTCAGATCCTCATCATTTTTTTATCTTTCAAACCTAGTGGCTAAAAATTGTGTCAAATTCATGTGACTGTGATCATACTGATTTAACTTAGCAAATGCAAAAATAACAGTTTCTGTAAACAACCAAAGGAAGCCAAATCTGTGCCATGTATTTGGATCAGTGCAGCAATTTAGGAAAAGAACTTCATGGTAGACATTGAAGGAAGAGAGAGAAGTGTTTTCCTCTTTAATCTCGCTGCTTTCTTTGGGTGGCTATCTCTAGAAAAGCAGAGATAATGTAGTGATAGTTCAGCAAAGCTTCTTTCCCCCAAAGCTTTATTATTGAAGTTAATTACTGGTCATGACATGTTGCATACTAAGTAGACATTTCTTACCATCTTATGAACATAACATTTTTTTAGAAAAAAAGGCACATAAAACTAAATTTATTCACTACAACTTCAGAATTATGTCAAAAACCTACAAGTAATTTTATTTATTACATTTGATCTTTTCAGAGATTAGTTTATACTTTTTGTGAGATGTTTGATATTTATCTTCTCTACATAGAATTTTGTAGATGCACTACATATACATGTATATAAAAATATAAAATGTATATGTCTGTATTATTGTTGTGTGCCATCGAGGCAATTCTGACTCATAGCGACCCTATCGGACAGAATAAAACTGCTAGAGTTTCCTAAGCTGTAATCTTTACGGGAGCAGATCGGCAAGTCTTTTCTCCCACGGAGCCACTAGTAGGTTTAAACCAACAACCTTTTGGTTAGTAGCTGAACACTTAACTATTTTGCCACCAGGGCTTCTTATATTTATATATATGTATATGTATATACGTGAATACACACACACATAAAATACAGATGTAATTTCCTTGTACAAAGTGTTAATATCAAGTCACAAATACACATACACACACACCTCCCCCAGGGACTTATAACTCAGTTTTTAAATAAATTATTTTGAATAAACTTAAAATTGTGCAGCCATTAAATTTACTCACTTTTTTTCTGAATTGAATAAAAACACTTTACTTTCTACTTTTAAGAATTTTACCCATGGGATAAAGTATTTACATCCATTAGGATTCTTTGGAGAAAGGCAAATATCTGCATAGGAAATAACTTTGGTTGATTCTACAGATCTTTTTTTATTTTAACTGTCTTCACAATAATGTTAATGATTATATTTGTGATATTTAGAAATCTTGAAATCTTTCTAATAAGTATCTTTTTTTCAACAGTTTTACTTTTGTGAAATACAGATAATCCAAAATAAATTTTTTCTTGGTAGGAAATTTATTCTTTATTGATTGAAAATCATTTTAATTCATATACACAAACATTTTCATAAGCAAGCTAAGCCCTTGTATAACGACTTTAAACAAAATATGTCTTCTCTCTGAAATAACAGAGCAGATGTAGAAGATCATCCATTATGGAAATTGCTTCAATAAATAAACTCATAATCTCAAAGAATGCATTTCAAAACAACTTGTAAGGAAATATTGCCCTGTAGAGCACCGTAGTAGATAAGAAAGATGGAAGCTAGTCTCTTAAGGCAGAAGTGAGAGGCTATTATATTCCATTCCTCTGATCCCTCTGTTTTCATCTACAATTGAACAGTTGACACCCCTATAAAACTACTTTACAAAGATGCCCCACAAATCCTCCTTGGTGATTTTTTGTGACATTGAAAAGACTGAATATTTTATTCGTCCACTGTAGCCCCAAAACTTTGTGTTAAATCTACCCAAGTATGTAGTGGTTTAAGAGCTACTTGTGGACAAACTGACAGATTGGGGGTGAGGCAAGGGGGGAAGATTGAGTGTTGAGGATTTGCTACCCATTTAGATTTGACATGAAAGAACAGCAAAATGACACAGACTCCAAGAAACTGGGTAGAGCTGAGCCACCACGAAAGCCTTTGTTCAAGAGAAGCTTCACCTTTCTCTTCCTTCAAGCTTCCCACCTCCCCAAGAGTGATCACTATATTTCTCTTATGCTGAGTGCACCACTCATCCTGAATCTTAATAATTGTTTATGCTCCTGGTTGTGCAAGAAGTTTAGCTAAATTCCACATTAATCATCATCTTCAGTCAGCTGAACACTTTTTTAGTCCTTTTTTTGTAGGAGTAGGGGGGTGCAGGAAAACAAAGGTCTCTCTGATGTGGCTCCCGCTGTTGAAAAAAGAGACGGGGGTGGGGGAAGAAAGGAGACACTAATTTTTTTTTTTTTTTTAACTCATGTACCTATGTGTGTTTCAGAAAGATGACTTAGCACTGGTTAATATTTATTTTCCTTTTGAAGAGCTGAATCAGAATATCTTACTATAATTATGTTGCAATGATTTTCCTATTAAGACATGCTGATAGGCCAGGAAATCTTTATATTTATTAAGTGCCTTCTACGTGCCAGACACTATGAGGAGAAATGGAAAGGTTTTATTCCACATTGTTTGCTCAAGATTTTCTATAAAGCATTTCAGAATGCAGAAATATGTTTTTAATCTTGTCTCCTTTCATTAAATCACATGAAATCTCAATTCATGGTACATATGTGGAGGGATGCAATAATAGTTTCCAAATTTTTCAGGTATTTTGAAATATAAGTTCAAATTCCAGTTCTGCCACTTGCAAGCCCTGTGAAATTGAATACTCTTTGTTTAACCTCTCTGAGCCTTAATTTTTTCATCTGCAAAATGGGGAATGCCTACCTTAAGATGTCATTGTGAGAAGTAAATGAAAGGGTACAGGTAAAATACCTGAGTCAGACTAAGCACTGCATAAATAATAGCTATTATTATTTTCACTAATATATGTTATTATTGTCCCCCCCTTCTCGCCCCTTCACTGCTTTTACAAAGAATTCATGGTGATTTTAATCACAAGAGGACAAAGCATATATTTTATTTCTTTTTATTTCTTTAGCTCCTAAAAAAGTGCCTGGCATACAGTAGATACTTAATAAATGTTTGTTGATTAAAAAAGAAAAATACAGCTTCTAATGAAGCAAATAATTCACTACATAGTTTAGAGAGAATTTGGCAAATTAAATCATCATGCTAGCTTGAGGAACTTCTGCACACAGCTAATATGGTAATATGTATCCTTAAAGGCTAAAATGCATACGTTTTCAAATATTCCAGACATTTTAAAATTGATCTTCAACCTTAGTTTCAAATGGGAACCTTAGCCATACCACCTTTTAAAAACTCTTAAACTTGTTATACTAATAGTTATAAATAATAGCTGTGCAGCCATCTCAATTAGAATGTTGAACATTTTACAAATATGTGGCTCTTGCTCTTTTCAACATATTCTTCCATATTTTAATTAGGTAGCCTATTTTAAAAAGAGAGAGAAAATAAAAGGATTAGCTCATAATAACTACTAATATTTTATAGTATAAATTAGAAATTAACCATGCTTTGCAACAACTCATCAATTTTCATGACACATTTATAATTTACAAAACTCTTTATATTTGCAGAATGTTTTCAGTAAGCTAATACACAATTTTCATCTATTTAAGGAAGAGGCGATCAGTTGCCTTCAATTTATAGGTAGAGAAACTTTCTTCACCCAAGCCCAGTGTTAGAATATTCATCAAATTCAAAGAAGAATGGGAGACTTTCAGTTCACTTGGCCATTTCAACTTAAAACAAGATTTAAGTAAATAATATAGAGACCAATCCTGGACAATTGTCCACTATAGAGTTACTCATTTAGGGCATCATTATGAGAAAACCACATATTATGTAATTTACTGTTATTATCAAGTTTTAAAAGTAGTTTCTACATTTACGAAGTGCTTAAAAACAAAATCAGAATTGGGATAAACTGCCATGTTATGTAAAGTACATTATCTGCTAATCCAGACTCCAAAAGCAACTTCAACTTTCCTAATTAAAACTTCCCTGGGGAAAAGAGAAGATATTTATGAGAGATTATTAAATGGATGTTATGGTACAATTATGAAATAGGAATACATGACATTTGTCTCAGTGATGCTGTGGTCAATAGTGATCACTCCTAATCTGAAAATGACTAGGAAAACTCAGCCGTGGCCTGGAGTTCTCTACATATTGGCTATTCACCAGGCCTGTCTTTTGGTTGGTGGCTCCTGTTGCCATTTCTGAAATCGAGTGATTTTTTTGCTAACGTTATCTCTTTAGTTGATGGCCTTTAAATGTTTTTGTTTTTGTTTTTTGGTTGGGGGGAGGAGTTCTTTGCATGTTTTTTTTAACTGAAAACTCTCCAAATGTTATTAGCCACCAGTAAACCTTTGCATTTTATTAGGACTTTTACAATAATTCTTCATCATATTTTCTGTCTCCATTGCTTAGAAAACTAAATGGGAACATCATTTGAAGTGTGTGCTTGTCATAACTGGGAGAAAATTATTAGTTTCCATTGGGGATACATTTTATAATAGAATTCAAATTCATGGAGCACAAAACCTATTTAAAGCCAAAATATCAGGCAACACTAGGAAACCAAATTTAATGTAAATAAGTAACTATATAAGATTTTTAAGTGATTAGTTAATTTATTCTTTGAACTATTTTGTGGCAAATTTCTGCTCGGAGAAAGGCATCTTGCTAAATGTTAGAGATCAAACAAAAATGAGTTAGTCCTTTTCCTAAAGGAGGTCACAGTCTAATGCAGCTAAACAAGATGCAGAATGTGACCTTGAATGATTCTTCTATTACATGAAGCTGAAGCTACTAAATAGTCTTTACTTTAATGAGATATATTGGAAATATTAATTTCATTGCTGAAGATTATAAAGTATGTTTCCTAGACAACTATTGGAGACCTGGTGGCACAGTGGTTAAGAGCTCAACTGCTAACCAAAAGGTTGGCAGTTCAAATCCACCAGCCACTCCTTGGAAACCCTATAAGGCAGTTCCACTCTGTCCTATAGGGTCACTATGAGTCAGAATTGACTCGATGGCAACGGGTTTTGGTAGACAACTATTAACGGACAATTTTCCTATCAGAGTTCAGAGTCACAGTGATAGGTATATAATAATCACTCAGTAGAAAATTATTTTAATGATTTCACTTTTAGTATCCAAAGTAAAGCAATTTAATACATTTCTAAGCATATTTATATTTTCATATGTTTTATTATTGATTTCTAGCCACACAAAATCAGTATGTATATTACTACTAAATATAATCTTTTGTCAAATGCTGAAACTAAGAAATTACCTATTTTCAAATTGTATGTTCTGTAATTTCTCCTTTACAGTTCTACTTCTCTCGTTATAGGAATCCCCATATGTTATGTACAAGAAGAATCATGAAATGTTTGAAGGAAATGACAAGTATGAAGGATACTGTGTAGATTTGGCATCTGAAATTGCAAAACATATTGGTATCAAGTATAAAATTGCCATTGTCCCTGATGGAAAATATGGAGCAAGGGATGCAGACACAAAAATCTGGAATGGGATGGTAGGAGAACTTGTTTATGGGGTAAGCAAATCAATTTATTGAAGAATTTACTTACATAAACCTGAAACTTCTTTTCACTTGGGCACATATCAACATTAAAATGTCAACTGCTATTTTTTGTTCTGTTTTGTTTTAATTTGCAGCTACAGTCAAAGAAACAGACAAACAGTATTCAAATGTTTCTCTATTACATTAATAATGCAGTTTCCAAACAATGAGAGAAACTGACACGTGGCAACTTTAAAATCAGGGAAGAGATAAGAATTCAGAGTATGCTGCCCTGTTAAAAAAGCACTGACTTCCAGATCTCTCTGTTGACTAGTTTCTTTAGCTTGATGCTGCTCTGCCGTAGGTATTTTGACAACTACAAAATTAAATCCATTGGCAATTTGTTGTTTTATAATTGTAGGGACAGATTTCTTTCAATAGTATAAATTTGGACATTATTTTAGCTAATTCTGTTATTTTTAATTACTTTATAAATAGCTTTTATGTAATTGGTGAATTAATCACTACACAGGCAATACTTCAGCATCTCTAAAATAGTCACCAATAATGTGAGAGTCTTACATTTCTGCTGAATACAATAAATACAGTAAAACGTATGCAATGCCATCATTTTATCATACATAATAGCAAAACACAAAACCTAGAATTTATTCCAGAGCAGGCCTCACGTGGAAGTGTGCGATGCCCTTTTCTTGTGTGTGCCACATATTGAGTGTACACATTCATAGCCAAGAACAAATACAATGTAGACACTCCTGCCTAAATGAAAATAAGCTCAGTCTCCTTAGCTACCACCACAAAGTGTCAAAACTGAACTGATAGTTATCAAATGCTTAGTGATGGTGACATCCCATATGATATTTCAAAAGTCCAAAAGCCAGACATACTGCTCACAGTAAACTCTATTTATTAAGTAACCAATTAAAAGTTAACATACACTTGAAATGTATTCTGAAATTTGCTATAAGCCAGTCATGCTGAATTCATAAGTCACAAATTTCATCTTCAAAGCATACTTTGTTTGATTAATCCTCATAAGACCTCTGCAAAATGAGAAATTACACAGAGTCACCCTTTCTTGGAAAAGAAATAGAAAAATTTAGAACATAACTGAAGTCTACAGAGGGAGTCACTTTCTGAGCCAGAACTTCAATAGTTTCATAATTCTGCATCTTGCTTTTCAGACCATGAAGCAATGGATATTCTCTGCACGGTACAGTACAGTAGCTCAAACCTCAGCAGAAAGAAGGTTGTTTGATGTTATGAAGCAGTGGGTTAGTTTTATATCCTTGTGAAAAAACTGCTGACTGGTTAGGTGACTCTAAACGAGAAAAATTACAGTTTTAAAAAAGCAAAAAGTATTTTACTACAGGCTTCATGGACAGTTTCATATTAAGCTTTACTGTCTAAATTTTCAAGAGAAATGGTTTCTAAAGCATATGTTCCTTGGTAATATTTTAAACTTTTGATACGGTAAGAAAATTTTAAATGTGAACATCATCCAAGCTATTATAACTATAGCAATTCATTTCCTTCAGAAAACACCATTGAGTATTTCATCTAAAAAAATCACACTTGGATTACCGAGTTATGGACGGTGTAACTAACCTGAGCGACTTTCTAGGACATGTGTTACACATCTCTCCTCTGTAGGAGGAATCCCTACCTACTCCATTGCAACTATTCTGACCACATTTTATGGAAGGAAGAGTGGGTAAATAATGAAAGAAAAAATAAAAGATTTGAAGAGAGAGTAGCATTATTAACAAAAAAAATTGTATCAGTAACACATGTCACAGTAACGGAATCTCCTAAAGTTATGCAGTTCTCAGAGAGAGAGAAGATAGTATAGTGGTTATTAATGCTCAGTCATCAACCAGTCAGCCAAGGTTTAAATACACCAATCTCTGCCACTTAAAGTAGCCACCTTCTTCCCAAAAGAAATCTAATTCCACGTCTCTTACACTTTTCACCAATTTGATATTTTATATTCTGGTATTTACAAAGTCTACTTACCAACGTTTTTTGCTTGTTTCTTTCTTTTTTACTGCTAACATATACATTAAGGCTCAGTTCCCTGGGCCCTAGGTAAATAAAACTCCATCCATTCTCTTCTACTGGAGAAAGCCTGTGAGACCCCAAAATGATTAATTGAACCCATTATTCCTCTTTTTCTTTACTTTTTGCAAACTTTGTTATTATAATTGTTATTAATAGATTGTGAAACATTCACATGTGATCTCAACACACTGCCATGTGGTAACTCAGAAGCTCAGAACTTTCTTACACTCTCAGATTCTTTTTAGTCTATCATATCTGCTTAACCAATCTATTCTAGAATTTATCTCCTGTGATGCACTGTTTCAGGGCCTTCTCCTGAGCCTTGCCGTAATCTGTTGCTGTTGTTTAATCCAAGGGACTATATCTCAAAGTGTGTTCCATGGACCATCAGCAACAGAATTATCTGTGGAGCATGTTAAAATGCTGATTCCTGAGTCTCACTCCAGTGGTGCTCAAGAATCCAAATCTCTGACCAGGGACA